CTAAGATGGTGAACTATGTTTGAATGTATGTTAAAACTTATTTATACTGTCAATGTATATTCATTGAACTCTTTTAATACTGTATCAACATGATTATGTAAGAGAAGGAATCTTATGGCGTCCTTTGTGGGATGCATTGATCACGATGCTCATGTTTCTCTTGCAGATTCGGGAAAATGGTTGCTTGTTTTCGATATGCATCAATTGATGTTCACTCAGTCTACCTTCCTCCACACAAACTGAATTTTGATCATGGGAAACAGGATTGGATACAGAAAGAATCAGACGAGGTTCGATATTTGAAGTCTTGGATTTTAAATTTTGGTTACATTACAGTGAACCTAATTCCTGCTTGTTACAGATGGTCAATCGAGCAGAGCTTTTATTCTCCGAAGTACTCAATGGTCTTAGTCAAATTGGAAAGAAAAAATCTAATTCAGTCCAAGTTGCTGAACTGGAAGGAATGTTGCAAAGGGAGAAACTGGAATTCGAGGTGAGGTTAACAGTAATTTTACCTGAATTTATAGCTTCATTCACTCAAGTTTGTTACAATGCTTATTTTTGTATGCAGTAACTTTTAGTCTTTAGAGATACTACCTCCGTCCTTAAATATAAGGCCTTTTAGAGTAAATCACGGAAATTAAAAAAGTTGGTTGGTGTATTAAGTTTGTTGACTGTTTGTATGATCTTACAAGTTTATCCTTAGGATTGAGAATTATTTAGTATTTGTGCAAGAGTATTTAGTGCGAAAAGCAGAAAAAAAGATGTAACATTTTTAGAAGTATACGAGTAAAAAAATGATCAATGCACTTTGAAACGGACTTATAAAAAGCGACAAAGAAAAAACTCAAGAGTCTCTTATATTTAGGGACAAATGTAGTATAAGATCATTCTTGTTTTAGAACTTTTTAATGTTAGATAGGATATGAGATTTATTAACTATGTTAGCAGTCTTAAAGGGGCGGAGGTTTCATTAAATTCTATAATTGTAGAAACATATACATATCTTTAAAGGCTTGTGGTTTCACGGTTCTCTTTTCTGTTTACATAGGAAACTCTTAAAAAGATTTTAAACCAAGAAAAGAGAAATGGCCAACCTGGAATTGACATTCTGGAAATTAATCGACTGTGGAGGCAGTTACTTTTCCAATCATATATGTGGGACCACCGCCTTGTGTATGCAGACAGCTTAGCTAACTCCAACAACGAAACTGGTTTAAACAATTCAATTTCAGAAGATAAGGAAATACCTATAGATGAAAATTTGATGACTGGGGTCTCCTTGGCAGGAAGGGGATTCGGCAGTGCTGACTCTATAAATGGACTAGTTGATGCCAAAAGTTCCCAATCAGATGCGTTTCATCAAGAAATTGATGTGGCCAAAAATAAACAAAACAAGAAAGAACAGCCCAATCTTTCTATCAGCAAAAGCACAAATGATCAATCGGACCTTTTAGAACCTGAATTGGGTGTTCGTAGAGCTCTATCGGAGGGGCCATTTCCCGTTGTACCTAGTTTGTCTGATACACTTGATGCAAAATGGACAGGTGAAAACCAGTCAGGAATTGGAATTCAAAAGGATAGCACTTCCATAAACCCTGATATATCTATAGCAGATGCTTTGACGACGACTACACAAAGAGAAACGTACTATCTTGGGGATCGCGCAGAAGACCAAAACGGTTCCAAGAGCATCTTTTCTGCTCTTAAAAGTCATGATAATTTGGAAGACTCTTTAAGTTGGTTAGGGATGCCCTTTGTAAACTTCTATCGCCAATTTAACAAGGGTTTGTTTGCTAGTAGCCAGAAGATTGAAACACTAGTGGACTATAATCCCGTTTTTGTATCGTCATACGGGAAGCTGGGACTCCAAGTTGGTGCAAGGATGCTTCTGCCGGACGGTGTTAATGACACTATAATTCCAATATATGATGATGAACCCTCAAGTATTATAGCTCATGCCTTGATGTCTTCGGAATATCATTTCCAGTTATCTGATGATTCAGAGAAACCAAAAGATGGAAGTGAATTGGCATCATCTTATTTTTCGGATTCTGGTGCCTTCCAGTCATTTTCATCTGCCGATGATACAGCTTTTGATTCTCAGAAAAGTTTTGGGTCAATAGAGGATATGATATTGTCAATGTCTGGTTCTCGTAACTCATCAATGTTGGACCCATTGATGTATACAAAAGCTATGCATGCCAGAGTTTCCTTTGAAGAAGTTGGTCCCCTTGGAAAGGTAAAATATTCTGTGACGGTTTACTATGCAAAGCGATTTGAAGCCTTAAGAAGAGTATGTTGTCCTTCAGAGCTTGACTACATAAGGTCTCTAAGTCGCTGTAAGAAATGGAGAGCTCAAGGTGGGAAGAGTAATGTATTCTTTGCAAAAACCTTGGACGATCGATTTATCATCAAACAAGTTACCAAAACAGAACTTGAATCGTTCATTAAATTTGGTCCTGAATACTTCAAGTACCTTTCTGAATCCATAGGAACAGGAAGTCCAACATGTCTGGCGAAGATTCTTGGCATATACCAGGTACTTGTCTTTTCATGCCTTACATTTTTTATTATTTTGTTCTTAGAGCCTCAACTAAGTCATCATATTTCGTTTGCAAAGATGGAAACTACCGAGTCTAGTTTTGAAATTATATTATAAACCAAGCTACATAACTTGCCTAACTAAATCATTGAAAGAAGTTTAGATGGTTATTTATCTTTTGGAGGGTAAGGAACCAAGCAAGACAACTCACATAACCACCGATGGAAGGATCATGCTATAAATCATCTCTTTGAATGTATTGGTAATTAGAATTAGATTGTTAATTTATAATGCCGGATCTTAACCGCATAATTTTTGGATGGAAAAAGGTTACTTCAAAGCATCTCAAAGGAGGTAAAGAGTCAAAGATGGACGTTTTGGTTATGGAGAATCTTCTATTTAGGAGGACCGTGACACGACTTTACGATCTCAAAGGATCTTCTAGGTCTCGGTATAATCCAGATAGTACAGGGAAAAACAAAGTTCTGCTGGACCAGAACTTGATTGAAGCAATGCCAACTTCTCCTATTTTTGTGGGAAACAAAGCAAAACGTCTGTTAGAAAGAGCCGTCTGGAATGATACTGGTTTTCTCGCAGTAAGTTTCACACATACATCCACACTATACTTTACACTTATCTGTATCCTTTCCTTTTTTCTTACTTAGGCTTTGTTTGGATAAACACCTTAATGTTAAGTCCATTTGACATGCATGCATATGTTTTCCTGTTTTTTGCAGTCAGTTGATGTAATGGACTATTCATTACTAGTTGGGGTGGATGAAGAAAAGGACGAGTTAGTTCTTGGAATAATCGATTTCATGAGGCAGTATACATGGGACAAGCATCTTGAAACATGGGTGAAAGCTTCAGGAATCCTTGGAGGACCAAAGAACACACCACCAACAGTTATATCACCAAAGCAGTACAAGAAAAGGTTCAGGAAAGCAATGACCACTTACTTTATCATGCTTCCAGATCAATGGTCCCCATCATCTATTATTCCTAGTCATTCTCAGTCTGATTTAGTTGAAGAAAAAGAAAACAAAGCAAAAGAAAAAAAAGAAAAAGAAAACAGTACACAGTCTAGGCCTTTAGCTGAATGATTCTTTCTTTCATGTGTTTCTGTAAATTTTGCTTCCATTTTGAGGAATCATCAACTCCATCCATATTTTTTATTTGGTTTTTCTTTTTGGCTTCTTAAATTCTATAGGAATTCTTTTGGTTCATTCTAATAGATACACACACAGAAGCTGTTAGATTGTTAGAAGCCACATGGTGTTTGTCTGGAGTAAATGTATTTAATGACCTCCAGATGAAAATCTATGTACAAAAAACATATAGTTCGTTTCCAGCATCATACATACATGTATAATTTTTCAGTCGCGCTGAGTATCTCAAATTTCATTGATCACTGTCTTGAATTCAGATATTTTTTTGGAGCTTCTTATTGAGGAAACCGGAATCTTTTGCCTCTATTAATTATTACAACTTTCATGGCCAACTTTGAGGTGGAAAAGGTCTTTATTGACCAAGGAAGTTCAGCAAAACATAATGTCCTATGACATCATTGTCATATTATTGGGCATGCTTTTCCTAAATGCTTTAGGAGACCTTTCATATAAGGTTCACCTTGCTATTTGGACATTCTGGTCTATTACCTAGAACATCTCATCTTGCCCCTTCATACCTCATGTTTGAAGGACTACGGACATGTCCAGAAATTAGGGTTGGGACTAAATCTGGAGTCAGGAGAGCCTGCCTCAGTTTTGAGGCATCCCCTAGGACAAGACCGAGTTGGGTCAACATAAAGGGGCCAAGATAAATAGGCCAGTCCAAAGCTGGACATCAGTTTTGAGGCATCCCCTAGGACAAGACCGAGTTGGGTCAACATAAAGGGGCCAAGATAAATAGGCCAGTCCAAAGCTGGCATGTCCGATCAATGACTCATACGCCTCAACACTTAGAGAGTATCTTAAAGACATATCAGTAACCATAAAAAGTCAGTCTCATAGAGGAAACATTGTCTTTATGGAAATGGAATAGACCAAAACTGCTATATAAACGATTCATATTCAGATATCATTTGTGATTTTGACTGACTTAGATATATCATTTGCGATTCTGACTGACTTAACATCGGTAGAGTTATGAATTAACGTGTATCTCGCGTGTACACTCTACAACTTTTACAAAGACAAATATGGGTTAGTTATAGTTTGAGGTGATTAAAGTTTGTATTATACAACTATATTTGAGTGCAAAAAAAAAGAAATTGAGAAAAACATTGCTATTATTAATTTGTACAACATGCAAGTAAAATTATAAAAAATGTGCTGCAGGAACTAACCTACTGCACATGTACTATTTGATTCACTATTCACAACTATAGTTATAACACATACTATAATTATTTCACTATTCAAACTTCAAATGCTTGATTGATTAGTCAAAAGAGTTAGACTCTTTTATTGAAATTCAAATTAAATCCTTCAACTGCATCATCAATTTCTTCTTCCCCTTTAGCAATTTGAAACCAACTTTTTTTTAGTAGATTCACAATTTCAATATCCCTGAACCCAAAAAAAAACATCCTCAGTTAAAACAAATAGGAGTATATATTTATAAATTTAGTACAAAAATTTTCAGTTGAGTTTTCTCTACCTTGTTTGTTGGATTGGTCTTGAAATTTGTCTATAAGAAGGCCCTTCATCACACCCTTCACAAATTATTTCTCCACTCTCATCTTGGTAACAAACTATGCCTTGAGATTCATCTTCATAAACCTATTTAACATCAAATTAAACATTAATTAAGAAAAAGTTCCTTGTTCTAGAAAATTGAACAAAGATAGTAATAATAACATGTTAGTTAACCTTGTTCTTGATGGATGCTGTGATTTTAAACACTACTTGACCAACTGATGATTTTTTCTTTGGAGCATAGCATCGTTTGGACATCAACAAATTGTTTGAATATTTCACAAACGAATGATCATATTTCTGAATTGGTATTTGAGCCAAAGAATTACAGTGAAGAGCCATGAATCTATAATACTTGAAGAACAAGAAAAAGGAGGAGAAATTGAAGAGGAGAAAAAAAATGAAATGGATGTTAATGATGGTTAGTGAGCATCGATTTTATCTACTTTTGTTTTATAATAATAGTTCAATTATTGTAGATTATCATGTCTTGTCACGATGCATTAATTAATTAGTATAGTACTATAAGATAAAGTTGTAGGGACCAACATCTGTTTAACTTATTGTGTTGTTGCCCCATAGTATTTTGTTACCAAGCCAATTATATTTGGTTTGAGTGGTTTTGAATTAAAACAATTGTTGAAAATTTTCATGTTATATTAATGTTGAGTTAATCAAGTTCTTATATGGAGTCATTTAAGTTAGTCTAGGAGTAGTTTTAGAAAATTTTATCAGAATAATTCACTTTTTAAAAAAAAATCTTAAAATATTCTATTTTTTAATTTATTTTTCAAAGTATCTCACTTTGAGGGTGTGATAGAGAGGTGACGTCATGTCAATTGGCGACAGTTTAATGGACTTTGTAGTGTCGTCAATTGGATTGGAGACATCATATGGTGTCTCCAATTCAATTGGCGACATGGTGTTAAACATACAAGGGAGACGCCAATTCATTTGGAGACAGAGTGTATTGTGTAATTTTTTTTAATAAAAATAAATAACATTAATTATTAATTAAAAATAATATTACATAAATTAATGTTGGCGGCCGGATTGGTCATACCAGCCACCGGTTCCACATCTTCTAGGCACCCTCACTCATTACACTCGTTCTCATCTTTGCACCTGTTTCCCTCGTTGTTGGTTAACCCCAGGTGTTTGAGAAGTTGAAGTCTCAGGAACATTCTCAATTGATTCCCTAAGAATTTCGTGCATTTTCATGAGGTCTTTTGTGTTGAAACTGAGCGTGCGACCCATGACAGAGTAGTTTGGATGTGATGAAGGGGTCATTGGTGCGCGGCCTGGACGATTGAATGAGTCATTGGTGTGAAGGATTCGTTGGTGAAAGGTTGAAATGGTAGTGGTGTTTGAAAGCCATAAGGTTGTTGGGATGTTTGTGTGTGTAGGCTAGGGTATGATGTCTAAGTGTTTTAGCTATGGAAAGATGTTTGGGCGTTATGACTATGGTATGATGTACTCTCATTTTGGCTATATCTTAATGTTTTGTTAGGGGAATAGCCATATTGTGTTTCTTGATAATAGTCAGTTTGTTGGAGATGGTATGAGGGACGCTTTTGGTATTGTGGTTGGGTGTTTGACATGTTTGGATGGTGGGTTTGTGTGTTAGTGGGTTGGTAATTCTGTTGGGTAGGATTGTGAGTAACATGGCCGATAATTTCCCGGTGGGTTAGACGCTGAAACTTCTTGTGTGTAGGTGGTTTGTCGTGGATCGTATAAATACCTCTCTTCAGAGACGAACCTAGTTGCAACTGATATGTACCAAGTCATATAATTATTCGTTGGTATAGACGGGGTTGCCATCACCGGGTCACGCAAGACATGGGCGTTGTGGTTCCTCCATTTACGACACTCAGATTTTGCAAAATCCTTCCAGTCAGGATAATCTCATTGATCACTAACTTTTTTAGCTGCCATTTATCGAGGTAAATTAGGGGATCTGGGATATTTTGATGCATTCTAAATTGTAGTTTGATATGGTAACTGTTGTGCATCTCCACAGTGGTGAATCTGATGATCGACACACATGCAGTTCAAACGACTGCATCTTCCTCTCTGACTTCATGTAGGTGTTCCATGTTTAGATATGGACGCCAAATGAACTGAAGAAGAGAAAAATATTAGATTATAAAATTGTTGATATAAAAAATAAATTTATTTGTTTAGAGGCCTTACATCTCCAAGTGTAAGGTGATCCAACAGATTGCGGTATTGAATGATACAATGTCTAGGACATTAATTGTAACTCATACCCTTAGCCGATCATTTAAATAATAAAAATTTCAAATTCAATTAGTTAGACACAATAATTAGTAAGGTGAAATAAACTAATATTAAGTTATTAACTTACTTTTGTGCATACGGTAATGAAAAGTTGTTGTGGTTGACGGGGGCTAGGGATGACAATCTAGACCAACCTCATGTTTGGAGCAAAACGACACATCCAGAAAAAATAGATGTGTTTTTTTGGCGCACTTACACAAAGAAATATATAAATAAGACAGACAAGCGGAACGCCAACTATATTCTCTTGTTTTATCTAGGTTTCTCAATAAGCGTAAATACATAACGTGCATAGAAAAACCAGTGCCTTCGAGAAATAAAAATAAACCAAGTAAAAGCATAAGATAACACCTGATTTTTATTATTTTCATTTCTTCGGTAGAATCTTCATCTAATAGTAAATCGTTGTACCATAATTTGAGACATGAAAGTAAGATACCTTGCCCTCTTGAGCTCTCATTCAGCAAGTCGGCACCCAAACGTTCCTCACAAATTGAACCATCAAGGTTTGTTAGTCCATTGACCGCCTTACCATCAATACACAAACCGAGTAACATGTATGCATCCTCTAACGTCACAGTACATTCACTGGTTGAAAAAAAGAATGTGTGTGTTTCTGGTGTCATCTCTCTTGCAAAGCTAGTATAAACTTTGCATCAACCGAGTCTAACACGATTTTGCTTACATGTCCAAAACTGGCGAGCTCAATATAAGGTAGAATTAATTCGTCAGGGGAAACGTATTCATGGACACGAGGACGAAACTTAGAGACATCCTACAAAAAAATAAACATAGACATTTACACATTGTCAATAAACCGAATAACACATACACATTTACACATTGTCAATAAAGAAAATAACACTTACATAATTCTCGATATTAGCGACAGTACCTCTATGCGTTTCACTCATTATCAACAGAGATATTATAGTTGATTAAATATTTCTGATACTATTGACACTCTAGACTTGATAAAATGTTTCTGATATTATTTCTCTGAAGCAATGTTTCTGATGATGTATCATTAAATACCTCTAGCTTATTTATATAGCAACATAAGAGTCACATGTGAACTAGACATGCAACATGGTGGCGCCACATGGATTGGCGACAGTGTTCAATCCTTATGAAGAGTCACTAGTCCATTTGGAGACTCATAGGAATCTGAACTAACTGAGCACGTAGCCCGAGACATGTCCCGTGCATGCATAGCAGGCTGACAATCACGGTGCGACACTGTGTGCTCAGACTGCATCATGTCTCCATGTGAGTTGGAGCCTTCTTTCAACATATGTACCCTGTCTTCAATTCATCTAGAGACCTTATTAAATGCTCTCATGCATATTTAACCAGCCTCATGCATTTTCATCTGAAGCAACCAAAAATAGTAAGTCTCTAATAAGAATTCTTTGATGTCATCTGCACCGAGATACATTTTTAACGCCCACTACAACGGAGAGACATATGCCTCCGATAACACTGGGTTTGGTTTTTAAAACACTGATGTCATCTGATTCACAATCAATAGAAACACAAGTTTCTTGCATTTTAAAGATAGATTGGAATCGAAATTAGGGTTTGGTCCTATATCACAAATAATATATTAAAACCCAGTTTTTTTTAAACCAACCACGTTAAATTTTATCCACTTAAAGTGCGAGATGATGAAGATGTTGAAAATATGTTCGTCAGTCACGAACATTATGGTTTCAACTATATTGAGTTGTATACGTTCCTCCAATAAAATATTCCATCTCAACAGTCTCAGATCATCGATCAATCAACAGGTGTAGACTCAGATGAAATCAAAATGGAATACTCAGATGAAACTGAATCGGAGGTCAACGTCGTTGATGACAAAGAAGAAGGAAGTGAGACGTTGGTTGATCAACTGTTGAACAACAACATTGGAGACGATGAACAAGTGCCAATACCTCCAGATCATGTATATTGTCCGCCTCAACATAAGACGAACTTGGACTTGCAAGACGATGAGAGATCCTCATATATGTTTTACAACCCGTATATGCGGTTAGTGAATGAATTAAAAGTGGGAGACAAGTTTCGTACCAAGGAAGAATGTGGACGAGCCATTAAAAATATCGCATGGATAACTCTGTTGATTTCAATGTACACCGAACTGATTCGAGAAGGTATGTCATTATTTGTCGTGATCCACTTTGCAAATTTCGACTTTCTGCGTCTTACAGAAAGAGAAGTGATTCTTGAAAGATAGCTTCCATAAAGCCGCCTCACAGTTGCACTGTCACAAATATTGTTCAGGATCACCAAAGTTTAAGCTCATAATTGATATGTCAAGAAATTTTGTCGCTTGTTAACAAGGATCCATCTGTGAAAGTGAGTATAATAATCTTTCATATCATTACACAGTATAATTATACTCCCTCAAGAAGGCGTGGATTGCAAGGACAAAGGATGTTGAACATGTATTTGGCAACTAGGAGGATTCTTACAAATAATTACCATGATTTTTGGTAGCACTTAAGACTTACACACCAGGAACTGTTGCAATCATGCAAACAGTGTCGACATGTAGGCCAGATGGAACTATTGTTGATGGAAATGCCATATTTCACCGACTCTTTTGGTCGTTTCAACAATGCATAAAAGGTTTTGCATTCTGCAAACTTATTATTCAAATTGGCGAAACATTGCTCTACGAAAAATACAAGGGCACTTTGCTTATGGCTGTTGCACAAGACGACAATAATAATGTCTTTCTCATGGACTTTGCTCTGGTTGAGGGTGAGACCGCTTCTGCTTGGAGTTTCTTACTTAAGAATCTCAGAAGACATGTCGCTTCACAAGCCAACCTCTGTTTGATTTCACAGACATACTGCTATTGAGAATGCTTACAATAACCATGATAACAGGTGGCATAATCCTCCTTTTATCCATGTATATTGCATTAGACATATTGCACAAAAATTCACGCGTGTAATCAAAGACAAGAACTTTCACAAAAAAGTTGTGAATGTCGGGTAGGCTCTAACTCAACCATACTACCTTAACGAAAT